GAATAGAGTTGTTTACATAGTATTTCAAATAAATCATTAAAATGCTAGACAATAGAAGATATCAATAACATGAGTATCCAATATAGGACCAATTTCCTGTATATCTTTTAATTTAACAGTAGTTATAGGGCAAGCTTTTAAACGGTGCTGAGCTCATCGATGTATATATATATATATATATATATATATATATATATATATATATATTTTTTTTTTTCATGTTCTCTTACCTTCCAGGAGTGTTCACCTTCCGCTTAAATCCAGCAGGTTGTTTCTGAATTCAATGTAAATCACTGTCCATCCCTGCTGGATTTAATCATTTAATGGATTTCATCGATAGAATTAGCACAAAGTTTAGAAACCTGCCCATATAAAAAAGACAATTTATCATATGCAATTATGATGTCATTAAAATCAATAATGTGTCTTTTGGGGATATTTTGTTAAGACTATTTCATACAACTAGTAAATTGCCTAACTAGTATGAATAATGTAGTTTGTAGCAGTTAATTAAATTAATATAAGCTTCAACAAGGAAAAAAATCTACTTAAAAAAAATATACTCGTAAAAATACAATTTAGACAAATATCCATTGAGAATAATCTAAATTTAATCAAAAGCACAATATTACTTAACAATATCAATGATGAGATGAGAATTAATATATATGATACTCATCAATACACGTGAAAATACATATGTACATTAACCTAGCAAACACTAAAATTTTACTTCAATAGCGAATTTGTACTTCTTTTATCTTAACTACCACAATTATTTACAAGTGATGTGTATAATCAACAAATTATAATGAAAAATGTGTCTTATATCTAAAAGAATTGTTAGATACAAAAATATTGAAATGTTTTAATTTCATTTTTTTCTTTATATGCAATTGTTATACACGCAAACAAACAGGTGAAATTTGTTCCCATTCCCAAAAATGCATGAAATTTCAAGATTTAACTATGGATGACTGATATAATAATATGAAAATTTCAATTTAGCAATTAGGTTTTGCAGGCACAGCAGAAATATTAATTTGCTTGTTTAAATTATTAATTATATCATTCATACTTCCATAAAACTATTTTTATTCTATGGTGAAAAACTGCTATTTTGTGGTTTGGAATTGACTTTAAAACTACATTGCAGTTCCTCCAAATTTCAAACTTTACTATTCTCCCCCAATTAATAAAATATTTCTTGTATATAATAATAAATAAAGAGCCCTTCGTAATAAAATAAATTGACATAAAATTAAACATGCCAGCATAAAATAGATTATCTTCAAACCTATAGCGAAGTAAAGACAGAATGATGTTTTAAATATAATAACAAACATGAAAAATCATCAGATTTTATGATGGTTGAACCAACCAATTACGGTTTGCTGAATTATGCTCATAAAAATTTACTTCAAACAAAATAGTTAACTAAATTCTAAATATTTCACCCATATGTGAGAGTGAAAGTGCACTTCCTCTAAAATTAATATAGTTTCAAATGTTGGTAAGTAATTACAATTACAATGTTTTAGCAATATTCACAAAATTAGTTTTCAACTCTCTAACCATGAATCTGATATTTCCAATTATAATTGTAGTAGAGAATATCACACTGTTTTATAACTCTCACTTTTTTTATATACATATATGTTATAACAGTAATAAAAATTAATGACATGTTTTTTCCCTTTTCACATCTTTCAACATTTTTTGCATTATAATTTGCGTTATAGACTATCTAAAGATGATTTCAATAGCAAACATTTTATAAATGGAAATTTAATCCTCCATTATTATAGATTGTTTTGATGAATTAAATATATAAATAATCAATGTGCTTATATTCACCTAATAAAAAAAAAAAAAACTATGAAATAAGATTTTTTTTTCTAAGAGACAATTATCAACACTATACTGAAAAATATTTCAATACAAAAACATTATATGTAATAGAGATTTATAATACATACATATTGAAGCACTTTATAGTGAAAATGAAAACTAAACCATACTAACCCTTAATTTTTTCTTATAAAACTACATTATGTACAATTTCCACTAAACAAAGAAATAAATAAAGTAATTATCATTTGATAATTTTAATCACAATATTAAGAACTGAAACTTAACTATCTACTAAAATAACAAAAAGTGCTTCAAATTGGACAGTTTAGCCAACTTTGAATGTTAACAATCACTGAGTATTTGTTAAATCCATGGTATATGTATGAGAATAAATGTTCAAATGCAAAAAAAAAAAAAAAATAAAATGTACAGTGATCATTAATTGAATTTCAAATTCTATGATAAATATTCTAAATATATCACAATTTTCATTTGAATATTTTCAACTTTAGGATACAATAAATTTAAAAGTTTATCACTTGCATAAGGTAATATAAATCACATTTTCTGATAAGCCACTTACATAATAAGGGATAAACTGATGATTATTGTATTTTATGACATTATGTATCATGGGATTTATATTTTTTAGTTAAATTTAATAAGACAACATAAGATTGCAATTCAAAAGTAATTTTTAAATTAAAAAATTTATCAAATTAATTTTGTTTCAACAGGTTATACATATATATAAAAGAAAAGTGGTGCTTCATCAAAGAATCTTCATATGATTAATTCAATTATACTTTATAAAAAAAGAACAGTAAAGCTTAAGCTTCACAATAAATAAAATTTCATGTTACATTCAGTTCAGTTAAGAAAAATCATTGTGCTCATCCATTTTAAAAACTTCCAAATTATAAATAAAAAATACAAATCAAAATAAGTCAGCATTAAGTATTATAAGTCAATAAGAAACCAGAAGATAATTTTTTAATTGCATGTATGAAACTAAAGTTGTATGTAAAAAAAGAATTAAATATATCAGGCATGTTTAAAATGTGTGGTTTATAGAATTTAAAAATAATACCAGTGGAGTTTTAAAACAAAAATTCCATAATAACCGTTGTTTTTTTAAAGAAAAACAATAATAATTAATATCAAACAAATTCTTTTCTTTAAATCAAATCCCAATTATAAGGAGCTACAATGTTTTTTAAACAACATTTTGTTTTCTGAATGTAATACAAATGTTGAAAATAAAATTAATGCATTATTGAGAAATAATATTTTGTTTTATATCTTACTTAGCAGCATGGAATGACATTGGCTCGACAATTTTTAAGTTGTTAGCACAATGAATTTCTTTTCACTTCAAATTATCTAATATAATTTAAAGAGTATTGATCTCAAAGGCCCGATGGCTATTATTTATGTTAAAAGTATTATTTAATTTGCCAATAAATGTTTTTAGAATGCAATCATTATAAGAAGTACTACAGGTGGTAGGAATTAGTCTGGGCCTTTTTGCCAAATAAGAAGTGGTACGTTCTAAATTAGTGGACTAAAATGTATATCAGTATGCAGAACAATTTTATTAATAAGAATTTAGACAAAATGCTTTATTTAATTATGAAAGACTTCATTAATTTCAAAATGAAATGATTAATTCACACGAAAACTTTCTATTTAAATGCACCAATGAACACATGACTTTAAAATTTAAACAATATAATATTTACAAACCAACTGATTTATTTAACTTCAAAAACTAAAATCATTAGAAGACTCTTAACAACTCAAAATGTAACTAAAAATAAAATAACTTGCACATTACTGTTCTTACAAGATTAGAGCTCTAGTATGAAAGCTGGAGGAAAGATGTTTCTATTATAAACAAAATATAACTAAAGAAAGTTGAGGGCATAGAAAACTTCAGTTCATTGAGTGGCACAACTACTCAAGAATCAATCAAGATTGAGGAAACCCAACTTGGCCTAATTAGATATATCATTCTTGTTATATTTATAATTTTTATAGTAAATTTTGATAGCATAATGATTGAAAACACTTTGTAAAATTTATTAGTAAGTTTATAAAACAAATTCATAAATTGTTGTAATATGATTAATTCTATGAGTGAATAATGGATGAATTTGAGATAGTTCTGCTCCAAATACAGCAATTCAGCCTAAAAAAGCTTAATCTAATTTTTTTTTTTAAAGTATTGTGAAATTCATTTTAAATAACATAAAACATCAATCCATATTTCATAAATCATACAAGAATATTATCTTCCCCCCAAACAACTTATGACTTAATATCATCAACAAAGACTTTCATCACATTTCATAAAATGGAAAATTTGACTGTTACATTTAATAATAGTGAAAATCATGTAAACATTTAATTATATTAATAGCTGGTGGATAAGTTTGTAATCAAGTGATAGTTACTACTAATTAGTATTTCATTTGTGCCCAACATAAATAATAATGATTAATCAAAATATAGGAGCTTATTTTTTTCTTTTTTTTAATAATTTTTTTTTTTTTTATAAAGCAAATATGAATAGAAAATTACAGTTTTTAATAACAGTTGAGCTCAAAGATTTGACTTCTTAATAATTACCTTGAATTAAAGATACCGAAAAACAATGATAAAAAATCTCTTTAAATAAGAAAAAACAAAACATTTTTCTTGAATCGATTATCAGCAGTCACTTTATACCCCCAAAACACCAAATCTACCAGTTATGTATAATAAATATTCATTATAAATTCACAAAAATATTTTTTGATTAATTATAAACTAGTTTATGTATCACACTACCACTGCACTAAACATTTTCTCTACAAAGGACACTAAATTGGTATTCATTCATTTTACATGTACTATTAACATCGCCTTAAAGATTAATAAACTCTTAGAGAAAGTTAAGAGATAAGAATTTCATTATTTCTAATAAAACAAAAATAATAAAAAAAAAAATAAAAATAAAATATTACATAAAAAATATTTTTCTTTTTATTGTTTTTGAATAGTATAATTATTGTTAAAGATATCCTAAAGGATGATTAATTTATACAATACTTCAAAATTACAACCTAGAAATTTAGGAACATAATTCATTCTGATGGTCATTAAATTATTCTACAATTACAAACATTTTATATATAAAAAGTACCTAGATTAGAAAAAAGAAATCTAAATGATATCTACAATGCTTTTTAATGCTAAAATATTTCTTCATCCACTTTTTCAGAATCACTAGCAAGAGCTTCTTGAAGAGCTTCAACACAGCTTTTAGGAATTAATGTACCTGTAAGAAATTGTTACTATACCACAATATCATAAATAAAGTTATTTTAAATGGCAGAAATAATAGGATTCTTCCTCGCTCACCTGGTGCTAATAGTATTTCTTTGAATCCAAAATGCTTTTTTTAAGGGGTGTAAATGAAATGAAGGAATAAGAGAAGCACTTTTGCAGTTGTTCATTTTATACTGAAATCAACAACTTTGGTGATTTGGGAAAATTTATAGATTGGGAATGGTAACAAAAAAGTTTATCGGTAATATAGTTAAATAAAAAAGTAAAGGCAATCAGCAGGAGACCTCAAGACAGGCAAAGAACCTATTTGGAGCATATACAAACAGTTAGGGCGGACAAGTAGAAACACTCTTGCCAATAATAAGATATTGGCAAAAAACCGTGTGCGGTCAAAGTGGCAGGGGGCTTTTTCATGCTGAAAGGCATATAGGAGGAAAGGAAAAAAAGTACTGGATAGATTCTAAATTCATTAAACTGGGAATTTTGAAATATGAATTCTCTATGGATGAAAAAAAAAAACATTTGTCAGTAGATCTAGTTTTTGTTTATGGAAAAAATACAAGATGTCCCAGGAAGAAATGTCAGTCACTAAGGGTTTTAGTTTATTGAAAACGTAATTAAATGCTGCCAACCACACATTTTTAATCAAGATTTGATATTTTAAATGTTTTACCATATAACATACCCCTCCCATAAAAATCTCAATTTCTTTACTTTTGTCAACATTTTTTGAATATACGATGAATTCCTTAAAAGAGAAATTAATTTGAAAAGGAAAATATCTTTTAGTCAGGCTATTATAACAGCCAAAGTTAAGTAAAGAGGTTGTTTAGGCAACTTTCCAATTTAATCAAAAAAAGGCAAATAACAAAAGAATTCTACTTAGGCAACATTCGACATTATTAGGCATCGAACTGTATTTTTATTGAATTTAGTACATTATATGATTTATGTAAAGTAACTCACCCTATTATGCTAGCATATAAATGTTACTTGGTCTTTGAAGGAAGAAGGGCGCCGTTCTCCAGTCTGAGGTCCTCTCTATGCAAAGTGGGCGAGAGAAGCTCGTAGTGAGTAGAGCAGCTTATAAGATTTAAGCCGATGGATTTTTTAGATCCTTATCAGATTTGTTTTTACAACTCACCACAAAGCGGCGCTCCGATACAACACAAAACAGAGGTAAAAATAAATAATTTTCAGAAATACTTGGTGAAATTTCACACAATGAATTTTATGTACCTGTAAGAGAATTTAAAAAAAAAAAGTATTTTATCAGCACGGGCTTGCATTTAAAAAAAATTGCTTCATTTCATCAGCTTTCCAATGGTATATCTAACTTTGTGAAGCTTGTCTAATTTTGAAGAGATATTGCGACTGAGATCAATAAAAAATGTTGAATATCTGCAACAATATAAGTATTTAATACTTTAGTCTTGGTTTTGTGGGTCCATGGATCTGATAAGCTTTTATTTATGTTGTTATTTTACTTTCCTTTTTCTTAAAAACAATTAAGTTGGTGCTGTGTATGATTTAACCGATTAACACACTTTTTCAATCTTGCGCATGGTAATTTATTATCACTGGAAAGCAATAAAAATTATTTGTAGTAGTAACTCATATGCAATCCTTACATAAAACATAACAAAACAATACTAGATAAAAAAAAAATACTGGATATCATTTTGATCTCCTAACCTCAATATTTCTTCAAAATTAGACTTGCTTCACAAATTAGGTACACTGTAGGAAAGCTCATAAAATGATACTTTTTTAAAATCCACTAGGAGGTGCATAAAATTCATTGTGTGAAATTCCACTGAGTATTTATGAAAATTATCCATTTTTAATGCACAGGCTTGGAAACTCGTTGCATGAGATTCTAGACAATATTTCTGAAAATTTTTGATTTTTATTTCTTTATTTAACTTAGTCTGGTATGATAGTTTGATGAAAGGATATTTTCCTAGATTACTATTTCATAGAAAACTCATCATATATTCTGAAAACATGACAAAAGTTAAGAAATGTTCAAAATTTTGGATTTTTGAGGGGTTGAAACGTTTTATTGGAAAATTCTTTAAATTAAGAAATTTTCTCCTGGGACATCCTGTAGATAGAAATAAAGGCTAAAACTTTAAACAACTTAATGTGTTAATAGTTATGGAACTAGTAATGCTAAATAATAGTCTAGACCATAATTATTATTATAAATAAAGAGTGGAAAATAATGCTGTGAGATAAGTTTTTTTGCTGAGGGTAATAAAATATAATCTGGACTAATGAAATTTAAATTTTAAAAAAAGAAAAAAAAAAATAGATGGCCGCAAGTGCAGTATAACTTTCATGTCGCTCTGTATTTGTTGCTTTGTAATGTGCTCAAAATTCAAAGTTGTGGTGTAATACTTAATCAACAGTGAGTTAATAAACAGTTTTACACTTTTACGTTGACGTACACGCAGGTGAGGTACTATTTATTAACAATAAACAATTGATAAATTGGTGCTCATTTGGTTAGATCGAGAGGCCGTTAATTCCCTAATGTGCCTTATCATACTCCAGTAAGCTCACGGCCAGGGGCTCTGTTTACTAACTTCCTTCAGTCATCAGGTCTTCAGTTCGAACCCAAGACATATTTACTTTTTTTTTTTTTTTTTTTTTTCTTTTTTCTTTTCCAGAGACTGTTTTATTTTATTTAAACATTTATTGTAAGAAATGTTTTATTTCATTTCTGATTATAGTTATGTATATAGTTTATTTTTTTAATACTTTATTTCGTAATCTTCCATCTTTTTAATTGTCATATGTAGGAGTAGATATATATATATTTTTTTTCCTCTCTCTTATCATAATATGGAAGATATGAATTTAGATAAGAGTTCGTCACATGAAGATTCGGAGGACGAAACGCCGTTTTCTGAGGTTAGCGAAACGGATTCGCAGTATTTAAAAAGACGAACACTTCAAAAACGTCATCGAAACACTCCTCCTGGGTCGGGAGCTAATTCCTCCAATAAGAAAAAAAAACAAATCAGCTAAACCTAAACAGTTAGCAGAGCAAAATAAATCTAAAAAGTCAACTGAACAAAGTAAATCCACTAAAACTAAACAATCAGCCGAGCAAAATATATCACCACTTCAAACCAGAAGCAAATCAATTACCATAGCATCAGAGAAAACTGCACCAACCACCACTAACACCAATAATCCTATTTCCGTTAATAAAATATCAAGAAAAATTCCGGAGCCTCAAGAGTTTTCTGAGCCCGAGCCGCCACCTATTTTCATATCTAAAATCGATAACTTCATTACATTTGGTCAAGAAATTGCAGGTCTGATTGGACAGACCAATTTCCGCTGTTTCTCCAGAGTTAATGATATCAAAATAAACACAAACTCTCAAGAAAATTACAAAACACTTATAAATTATTTTATGTCCAAAAACTATGATTTTCATTGTTACCAATTAAGACAAGAAAAGCCATACCAAGTGGTGTTGAGAGGACTACACTCAAGTACCCCAATATCTTTCATCAAAAGTGGCCTAGAAGAAATAGGTCACAATGTTAGGCACATATCATGCGTACTACACCAAACGGAAAAATATCCTTTACCACTATTTTTCGTCGATTTAGAACCTGCCAGTAATAACATCGAAATTTTTCAAGTGAAGAGGCTTATATATTCCACCATTAAATTCGAAGAGCCTAGACAAAAGCCTATAATAGAGCAATGCACTAAGTGCCAAGACTTGGGGCATACAAAGACTTATTGTCATCACCAGGCCAGGTGCGTGAAATGTGCCGGCCCCCACGCATCTGACACTTGTCAGAGACCTCGAGACCTGCCTGCGAAATGTGCCCTTTGTGTTGAAGAACATCCAGCAAACTACAGAGGATGCAAAGTTTATAAACATTTTTATAAGCAGAGAGCTCTGAACATTGCCTCGAAAAGCGTAAAACTGAACCAAGAAAGTGTCACCCATCTACCTGAAATTGATACTCTGTACTGAAACTCACTTCACTAAACGAATACATTTCTACATACGTGACTACTTCACTTATAGAACTGATCACCCAGACAACACCTCCCATGCCGGTTCTTGCATCCTTATACATAATTCATTACCCCATTCCCTTATTCCTTCCACTCCAACTGATGCCATTCAATCAACTTCCGTAGTCCTTTCAACTCGCCCTTTCCATCTCACATTCTCAGCTGTATATTGTCCTCCTGGTAATTCCCTCTCCTATAACCTCCTTGATACCTTATTCCAATCCCTCGGATCGCTCTTCATTGCTGGAGGAGACTACAATGCTGAAGACCAACGATGGGGTTGTCGAACATCCAACCCCCGCGGTAACATCCTATCACGAGTTTCAACATCCAACAATTATTCAATCCTTTTGCCCATGAGTCCTACTTATTGGCCAAAATCCCTCAAAAAACGTCCCGATATCCTAGATATATTTATAACTTCCCAGATCTCCTCCTCACAAACCATAATCAAATCCCTTGATGACCTTTCTTCAGACCATAGTCCAGTTCTGCTTTCACTACATTCGAGCTATGCTCCTAAACCATCAACTCCTAAATTGATTACAGGACGAGTAAACTGGGACAAATTTCATGATGATTTGGAAAACAAACTAGACTTAAAAATTCCGCTAAAGACAAAAGACGACATTAATGGTGCCATTGAAAAACTGACAGCGTCAATAACGGACAGTATAAATAATAATACTTTTATCAATAAGTTTAACAATTCACAAAAGACTGACTTGCCACAGCATATTCGTATCTTATTGAAGGAAAAATGCAGAGCAAGATCGAAGTGGCATAGAACCAGATATCCAACAGATAAAACTCATTATACCCAACTGACTAACAAACTAAAATCTGAAATTAAAAAATTCAAAATTTACTAAATTTTACTGAAAAACTTACACCTACCGACAAATCACTATGGAGGACCACTAAAAGGCTCCTGAAATTTAAAGACTGTAATCATCCACTTCTTACTGAAGCTCAAACCTGGTCCAAATCCGATGAAGAAAAATCACAAATCTTTGCTCGTCACCTCTTTAAAACCTTTAATCCACACCGCGATATTCTTAACCCAAATCACCTTGAATGTATTGAAGCAGAACTGGATATCCCACTCCAAATGTCTCTTCCAGCTAAAGCCTTTCATCCTTCAGAAATATCCGACATCATTCAAAGGTTACCTTCCCGAAAAGCTCCTGGACACGACCTAATTACATCCCAGATCCTAAAACTGCTTCCTCGGAAAGCCATTCTATTCCTTACTTATATATATAATGCTGTACTGCGATCAACATACTTTCCTGACCCTTGGAAATTATCTATTATCAAAATGGTACAAAAAGCCACCAGAAAACCCATCCTCCTATCGCCCTATCTCCCTTTTACCCATCCTAGGCAAAATCCTGGAAAAGCTCATCCTAAAACGCCTGTACCCCATCCTAGATTCTAATCACATTATCCCAGATCATCAATTTGGATTCCGCAGATCCCATTCCACTATCCAGCAATGCCATCGTGTGGTGGATGTTGTCTCCTCTGCATTGGAGCACGGAATGTACTGCACGGGAGTCTTTCTCGATATAGAACAGGCTTTTGATCGAGTCTGGCACCCAGGACTGCTTTACAAACTCCGTAAATTCCTACACCCTACATACTTCCTCATTATCCGTTCCTATCTTACTGATATATCCTTCAAAGTAAATCATAATAATGCCTATTCATCTCTTTTTTCCCAGTCCGCTGGTGTTCCTCAAGGTAGTATCCTAGGTCCTATCCTTTACACAGTTTATACAGCTGACATCCCAACCCATCCTAACACAGTCATTACCACGTATGCCGATGATACATGTGTCCTATCAGTTAATAACGACCCAACAATTGCATCGCAAACCCTTCAATCACACATCACAAACCTAGAAGAATGGTGTCAAAACTGGAGAATAAAAATAAATTCCAATAAATCCCATCAAATCACCTTTACCCTTCGTCGTAAACCTATGTCCTCTTGTCCTGCAGTATCCTTTAATAATACCCCACTTATTCCTGTTGAACAAATTCGATACCTTGGACTCCACTTAGACAAACGTCTAACTTGGAATCCTCATACCAGACTGAAACGACAAGAAACAGCTCGACGTTTCCGACTACTCCAGCACTTACTAGACAAACACTCTAACCTCCCAGTCAATTACAAAAGACTCATATACATGACTACAATAAGACCTATTTGGACTTACGGAGTTGAGCTTTGGGGCTCCACTAAGCCATCGAATTCCTCTCGTATTCAATCCTTACAATCCAAAATCCTCACTGCTCCTTACTTTGTCACAAACAAAATCATCCATAACGAACTTAATGTTCCTTATGTTTCTGACCTGGCCCAATCCAGATACCTATCCTTCCATAACAAACTTCAGAACCATCCAAACCCTCTCGTTTCTAAGCTTGCTTCATCTTCGATCCCTGACAACCCTCCGAGGCGTCTGAAAAGAAGATGGCCTCGAGATCTCCTTTTATAAATACATTTTTAGAGTGCTACCAATGGGTAGTTTCTCAACATGTGATTTCATGCTATTTTATTCCTTTGTTCACATTTACTGAATGTATTTTTACTTGTAATACAGTTGTAAATATCATCAATAAATAAAAAAAAAAAGAAAAAAAAAAGAAAATCAGTCTAGTTAGCAATTTTTTATATTTCCCACAAGAGGAAGGAGGAAGAGATTGAAATATTTTCCAAAAAAATTAAAAGAATAAATTTAATTGTAATTTTCTCACTTACCAACAATTTTAATACCTTCAGCAGTCCTGAGACGAATGACTTGCATTTTAGAATTGTGGCCTGTTTTAGCAGCCAAAACAGACTCAATCCTAGCCCAGACACTAAGTACTGAGCCTGATAATACATAATATGTTCTTCTTCTCAGACCTACTTCACAGTCCATGCCTAATGTGACACTTTTACAATTTCCTCTCCTAGAATTTAATGAATTTATTGTCAATATTTTTTATTGTACAACAAAACTAAAACTAAAAAAAAAAAAAATATATAAAAATCATGTGAATAAATAAGCAATAATGCATGAACAAAACCTATATTTTTGGAAATTGTGGATTATCATTTACATTACATATTGATTGATTAGACCTCAAGTGGACTGCATTTGGATGTTCATGGCACATAGAGATTGAGAGATGCTCAGGAAATCCACAACTGTACCTAATGCTATAAACAGATGGTAAGTAGAAGGAAAGCCCTGGAAACAGGGCACCATATTGAATAAGGATTTATTAAATAATTAAAAATGAAGTGGGAATCCACATGTTTTGAGAAATGAATGAGTTTATCAAGGTGCTGGACATCCCTGTTCTTGAGCAACCAGACAACCTTTCTTATATACCAACTGATCGCATCAGTCGTTTTCTCGTCTTAAGACCTAGGCCCAAGAAGACCCACCCAAACAGCCAGAAGCTAGAGGATTGACTCAAGAAGCTACCTAATTAAACTGTGTTAGCTGAAGTTGACATTTTATTCCAAGAGTGCTAAAACCCCAAAATAACTCAAACAATATTCTAAATGATTTCTCAAATCTATGTAAATCCCTGAGACTTATTTAATGAAAAATGTCTAACAGCAACTGTTACTGTACACAATGGTTCCTCTACCAACAGTACGCTATTGGAACCTTACTACAGTTTGACAGTAGACCTGGGCACTCTTGAAATAATTTATTTCTGAAATAATTCATATGGTTATTCCACGAATGAATTATTTCGGGAATAATGGTTATTTCTGAAATAATATCTCAAACTGTCACTGAAATAATTTCGATGGAATAACTGCTGAATTTATTTCTGAAATAATTATTTCACTATTCTGACATTCTTTGGAATAAAGTAAATTATTTCGAAATGAGTTATTTCTGAAATAAATTATTTCATAACTGTTATTTCAGAATTATTTATTTCATAAATAAATTATTGCAAAAATTAAAAAATAAATATTTCAGAAATAACATTGTAAATAACAATATCAAATTCGACCGTATTTTCATAATAAGCTACCCCGAAAACATTATAGTCGACCCTGATATCGATTAAATCCGAAATGTTGCTAAAAGTCGATTTGGGGGGAGGGAGGGGCGAAATCTCAAATTTGACATTATTTTTATAATAAGCGCCCCAAAAACATAACAGTTGACCCGGATATTGATTATATCTGAAAAGTCGATCAGAATGATTATTTCACAACATTATTCCTGAAATAATCATTTCAGAAATAATTGTATCATTATTCCTGAAATAATTTATTCCCGAAATAATCATTTTGAAAATAATGGTCACGTTATTTCATGAAATAAATTATTTCGGAAATAACTATCGAGGTTTATTTAGGGATTTATTCCGGGAATATGTTTCAAATAAATTCTGCCCAGGTCTATTTGACAGATTCAAACAGCATGTAAACTTAAGCGACCCACTGGTTAAGCTAATTTTATCATTTCACCCAAAAACTTAATTAGTGCTTGTAATTATTAATATTATGTACAAAACTGAATTATAGTATTTTTTGAATTATAAATACTAAATGTATGAAACTAAATATTAATAAAGCTGAGGTCCAGAATGATTCTAATCTAGAAAAAATACCTATTAGGCATTTCCTGGTCACTATATTAGAAATAACTTACATAACCCCTCAGAAATTTTACACAAGCCAATTTTTCCTATCAGTCTCTACTGAGCTGTTTAGGCTGCACTAGATGAATTAGATCATTTTTGCCTGGGAACATCACATGAAGCCCAGTCAAATTAGCACAAAAAAAGTGGTCTAGCTTACAAAAGGTCGGGTAATTCAAATTTCTTTTTTATATTGTAAGGATTTTTTTTTAATTACTCATAATAATCATTAAGTACTCATAAATGGCATAGTTATAGTGCTACAATGATTGTATTAATGAACAAATATTAATGTAATAATTGAATTGTCGAATTGTTTATTGTTATTATTATTATTTTTAAACTTTACCAATTTTGAAAGCTCGATAGTTCACTTCCTGTTGCGTTTAGAAAAAAATGTTAGATAATTTTAAGCTGTTTAAGATTGAGTATAACTAATTTTTATCTATGTTGCTCTAAAAATGAGATATTTAGCATAATCCAAAAAAAGTCCGAAATTTCAATGGTTTTTAGAACACTGCAGTGCAGAATGTGGGTGAATCCATGTCCCATGTTGGTTGGATCAGGAAGATGTGGTTTAATACAAGCTTCTTAAACCAGGTGCAACCATACATATGTACTAATTACAAATGATAAGAAATAATTGATTAAACGATAACATATTGATTGGAAAATTACGAGAATAGGCAAAATAATATGGGACAAAGTATTTTTTATTATAATAAAACACACTTAAAACCAGTTGAAGAATTTTGCATTGGAAGTATTAATACACCTGCTGAATTCACAAGGTCATGCTCTTTCAGGTGATTAATAGATCAATGGTATACACACTTTTTAAGTAGCATTTTAAAACCTACAATGAGATAGTATCCACAAAGTCCCTGAAAGATGGAAGAAATGTGTAGCATGATCGATAATACTACTATACATACAGTAAACATGATGTTTGTCTAGAAATTATTTTCTAATAAAAATCCTGCACTATTGATAGATGCACATGAAATGACTATGATACTGATATAATAATTTTAAAACATACAAGGTTAAAATAAAAAATTACCAATATGCATGAGAACAGACTGTGCTAGATGAATCATATTGTTCTTTCCAGTGAGGTTCTGCTTCATCTTTAGTAACTAACTTATACTTCTTTTCCAGTTCAGCAAGTGTTTCCTGTCTAATCTAGTGTAAAAAAATATGATAAATATAAATTAAATAATAGCTTAAATTAATATCACTAAATAGCTTCAATTCATAAAGCTAGGAAAACATAAAATCATGTAAATGATCTTTCAACTTAACTAAAACAAACCATATAAGTTTAAAATAGCAAATTGATTAATAACGAACAAGATGATTTTCAGAAATAAAGTAATACAATAGGTAGTATAAAAAAAGATATGAATAAATATTATTGATTTATAAATATTTTGAATTTTTTTCAACAGGAAATAAAAACATTTTTAAAGAAATAATATAAGTGAATGGTTAGTTTCTGAATTCATTTAGGAACTAGTTTTATTTTAGCTTAGCTTCATGTATATTTGAAATAAACAAAAAAAATCTAAGATGCTAAGATTTTTAAAAGTTTTATGTCTGATGTTCAGGGAAAAACCCCAGAACCACAAAAAATAAAAATAAAATAAATAAATAAAATAAAAGAATCACTAGCAATGCCTCACCACCATTGTATGAACTGTGATAATTAAATGAAACCCCACAAATAAAGTCCATACCATATTATTCAATTATAAATCTTTAACTAATATTGGGTTGTCAGGAAAATAATCCAGGATTTAAAGTTTTATTTAAAATGTCCCTCTATATAACAAACTTTTTAAGTTTACTGGATTATTCATTTGTATAAGTGTCAACACTTATTAATCCTCTTCCAAACTAAAATGTTTGTTTAACTCTGTAGCATTTCGCTGCTTATAAATAGTTCAGTCTTTACAAAGATGTCAACGGAAGATTTTTGTATAATTTTGTTTTATGGGTTTAAACTCTGCTGGATTGGGGCCCAGATGGCCAGAAACATCAATCAAGTCTAGGGCAAGAGCAGCATTAATGAGTGCACTGTTCAACGGTGGTTCAAAAAATTTCGGGGAGACTTCAGCCTTGAAGACAAAGGTCATGGAAGGACTACCTCTCTTGATGACGATATTCTGCAGGCTTTGGTGAAAGAAAATCCGAGAGCAACTGTTCGAGAACTTGCAGGGAAACTTAACCTTAGCAAATTGACTGTACATAGCACCTCATGGAAATCGGAAAGATAAAAAAGCTTGAAAGTTGGATTTCATAAACATTTAATGACCGCCAAAAAAACCAGTGCAATGAAGTTTGTGCTACACTTCTCTGCTGAAACAAAAATGACCCTTTTCTGTCCAGAATTGTTACTTGTGATGAAAAGTGGATACTTTACGATAACAGTAAACGTTCTGGACAGTGGCTCGACAAAGGAGAAGCAGTAGAACATTTTCCAAAGTCCACCCAATTCATCAAAAAAAGGTGATGGTTACTGTTCGGAGGCTTCATTTGGTTTGATACACTACAACTTCTTAAATCCTGGAGAAACTATCAGTGCCGAATCGTATTGTAGCCAAATTTATGCAATGCATCAGAAATTGGTGAGAATGAAGCCATCTTTGGTCAATCGGAAGGGACGGCCTCACGTCTCACGTGTGATGTCAAAAAAGCTTGGATATGAAACTCTGCCACATCCGCCCAACTCTCCAGACCTCTCATGTACGGATTATCATTTTTTTAGACACCTGGACTACTTACTTGACAAAAACTTTAATGGACAAAGGGAATTAGAAAATGTGTTTTTGAAGTCTATCAATTCTATCCCAAGGGAATGGAAAAGTTTCCAACATGTTGACAGAAATGTATTAGAAGTGAATACTATTTTGATTAAATAAAACCGTCGTAAATCTTTCTTCTTTTCTTTTTAAACCAAAATCCTGCATTATTTTCTGGACAACTCAATAATGAACGCTAACTAAATTACCAAGATCAAACATCTGAAAAATATTAAAAACTTTATGTCTGTTATATAAACAGTAGTATAATATAATTAATACTTATAATGTAATTTGATGTACTCAAACAAAGTTCAACATACTTGCAATCCAGTATTAGGCCTGTAAATTGTGTATAATTGATCTTTTTTTCCTTCTCCTTTTTTTACAGGTTTACCACTACTACTGCTCTCTAATGCTTCAGCAAGAATTGCAGTTTGCTTACCATTTCTTATCTGAAAAAAACAAACATAAAAATCTGTGCAGGGTAAGCTCTAGTCTAGGAACAACCTGATGGATTCCAGTGGAAAGTTACAAAACCGGTAAAAAAAAAAAAAAAAAAAAAAAAAAAAAATACCTACCTACTGAAATGTTGAAATTCAAAATAGAAATAAATGTAGACAGAACGTAAACTGAATATAAATATCTAAAATAAATTGAGAAATAACACTGAGGTTATAATGACGGTTATAGAGGTGACATTCAGCAGATTTATCGGCCCTAAACCAAAGTCAACTTTGCAGTAATAAATTATTAAGCTTTTGATGGGACCTTTTGCCCAACACTCCATATTCACTATACCTAGCTCCAAGTGACTACCACTTATTCCAGTCACTGCAGAACTCCCTTGATCAAAAGCAATTCCAAAACGAGAAGGGCATCAAAAACCACTTAGATCAGTTTTTGACAATAAACTCTAGATGTTCAATGAATGTGGCATTATGCAGTTAGTGGAAAAATAGGGAAAAGTCATAATAAATAATGATCAATAGATTGTAGATTTAAATAAATTTTGTTTCTATAATACACCGATGTTATAAGTATAAATTATATAATAATTTTGGAAATTGGTAAGAACCAGTTTTGATTAGTATTAAATAAACATATGGTTATATGAGAAAAATAAATTTTATCAATTTAATTCAAGTTACTATAAATAATATTTTGAAATATAACAATAAATGTGTAAAGCTGATTTTTTTTTTGGGTGGCCAACACTTCTCCGTGTCCCTATAACAGAATACTTTTCATCACCTCTACTCACTACTATAGCCTTTTTATTAGGTAATTATAATCAAGAATGCCCTTAATCTCTAGCCACATAAAAATTACCTATTGTCTCATAGAAGGCTATGAAATAGTTAGAAAGTAGAATTTATTTCTCAATACCCCGTCGTTTAACAAGAGCCTGAAAGGCTCCTCATATGTGAGTCTACTGTTGCCTGTGCCCAGTTACTTCTTGACTCATATATGAGTCCACCGTTGTTAAAGGGTTAAAGAGAATTTTTCTGAGAATAATTTCCAATAAATAAATAAACTGAAAAAAAAATAATCAACTATGTAGTACATTTGTCAATATTGTCGTTGCCTCAAACGAACACTGACCATATTTGTCCCACCTAAATTGAATTTCGGGAAGAGCACATTGACAAACCAATCTCAACTTTTAAACATATTTGTCTCCCCCTCCTGATATATACAGGAATGTAACCAAACTATTATTAATAGGAAATTCCTGCTTTTAGGTAGTAGGGATAAATATCGTCAATACAAAAGCAAACTATCGAATATGAAAATATGATAAAATTTTAATCCTGTACTTAGCGATTGCAATTAAATATTTTTAAAGAGAAAATATAAAATCTTCAAATATTCATAAAAGCACATGTTAGCATGGAAATTAAAACATCCTTGTTGTTTAGTATATCTGATAATGATATGATGATGAAAGGTGATTTTCATATTCAATAATTAGCATTTGTATCGATGAAATGACCATGGTCTGATAAAAGGTTAAATTAGTATAAATTTGAAAGTAAAAAATATAATTACCTGATGAGATAAATAAAATCCTTCTTTTGAGCCACTCAATTGTGTCCATCGTTCTAAAGCTTCATCAAAGTTCATACCCCTTTCAACATGAACTATATGTAATTCAGTTGTAGCAACTCCTGTCACATGCTTCCTCAAGTATTTGAAAACTTTAACCCTTTTAACGTTTTCTCCAGCTGTTCCAAGGTCTAAAAAAATAATTGTTTTTTAGTCTTATTATATGTTTATAATCATATGAAAAATTAATAAGCAACAGATTATTATGGTATCTTGAATCCAAAAATGTACTGCCACCTTGGCAGAGTGGTTTTCGGGGAGGGAGAAGTACGAGAGATAATTTAGTTCGTTTAGAGACTGATATTTTAAATGCCTTTGAAAACAAGAAAACAATTTTAGCTGTGTTTCTTGACATAGAAAATGCATTCGATGCATTTCATGCAGGGCATGGAGAAGACTGATTATTGACACACTGGTTAGAATTGGAATTGATGGTCATGTACTTGCCTTCATAAATAATTTTCTAACAAATAGAACTTTTAAGGTTAGGATTGGTAATGTCCTTTCTCATGTATTCGAACAGGAGAATGGAGTGCCCCAGGGTTGTGTATTGAGTGTGACACATTTTTGCATTTGCTTTAATCAGGTGTTGAATGTTATTAGGCTACCCGTCATAGGCTTGCTCTATGCTGATGATCTTGTAATTTATACCGAGGGAAAACATGTAATGGACTTACAAGATAACATACAAACAGGTTTGGACAACGTCAGTACCTGGCTAGCTGATAATGGTTTTAAAATTTAATCAAGTAAGACAGTTGGGATTCTGTTTAGCAAAAGATAGCCAAACTTATTACCATCACTGACCATAAACAATCAATCAGTCACCTTCTCCCACGTTGTACGATACTTAGGAATGACCTTAGATAGAACGCTCAGATGGACTCAGCATGTTAAACAATTAAAAGCAAATTGCCTCCGCTCCCTGAATCTCTTAAGAATGGTCAGTAACACTAGCTGGGGTGCCGATCGAAGAAGCATGCTAACTCTGTATAGAACACTAATAAGATCGAAATTCGACTATGGCTTTAATGCTTACAACTCGGCATCGAGTACCATTTTAAAAATGCTAGACCCTGTACAAAATGCCACCCTCAGAATAGCTACTGGTGCTTTCTGATCCAGCCCTGCAAATAGCCTATGTATTGAAGCTGGCGAGCTTCCACTCGACATACGGAGACAACAACTTGACCTCATTTACTTTGTTAAGATCCATTCTACTTCTAATCATCCACTGACTGATTTATTTTCAAATATGCAATACATTAATCAACAACAAACTGAATTACCAAATAGAACACCCTTTACAATCAGAGTCTCAACTTTACTAAATAATATAAATATTGAACATCCTATTTTTCAAGAAACTGCAGTTTCGGCAATTTATCCTTGGGGACTTCCTTCTCCAAAAATTCTTCTTTCTCTTACCAAATTTATTAAAAACAACACAATGCCTTATTTATATAAACAGGAATTTCTCAAACTTCAAGACAGACTAGGTGATTCTGACTTTATCTACACTGACGGCTCGAAGAGCTCCGTAGGAGTGGGAGCATCAATTATATTTAACGAATGTCAACATATTTTTTCTCTTTCACAACTATGTAATAACTATACTGCTGAATTGGTCGCAATACATAAAAGTTTAAAAGTTATACAGCCCACTAAACAAAAAATGGTCAAATGCACAGATTCTCTATCCGCTCTAATTAGTCTAGGAAATGTTTTCTCATCAAATATCATAATACAAAACATTCTGTACTTAATAAAGTCCACAAATAGAAATAATATATCAGTAGTTTTTGTCTGGGTCCCTGAGCATTGTGGAATAACCGGTAATGAAATGGCTGATCGAGCTGCCAAAAAAGCCATTACTGATGGAATACCTTATCGGGGAGTACCTGTAGAGGATTTTATAACTGTCATCAAACAGAAAATGAAGACAAAATAGGAACAGATATGGTCGAATATAACCGAAAATAAATTGAGGGAGGTTAAGGGTGACGTTTCCTCTTGGGCATCGTCAAATAGGAACCGTAGAGAGGAAGTAGTTCTTACGCGCCTGCGTATAGGTCATACACGCCTTACCCATGGATGCCTGATGGCCCGTGATTCTTCGTCAACATGCCAACTTGTGGGACTCCTCTGACAGTGAACCACATTTTAACGGAATGCAGAGCTTACGAAACATTTAGACTCTCTTGTGACTTGACAAACGATTTACTCTCCATTTTACAGGATAATACAACTGAGGTTGATAAACTATTTTCTTTTATGAAACGTTTTAAGCTTGAAAATAAAATCTAATTCTCAGTGACAATAAGGCAATAATGACCCAAGTGGTTGAAGCCTTAAAATATAAAAAAAAAAAAAAAAAAATCATATGAGAGATTCAACTACTATATATTTTTGCACCTTGCAGAAGTACTAAGCAATGACAAAACAATTATCAAATACAGCTATTACAAAGCGAATTTCTCTTTTTTGAGCTCAGCCAGACTGACACATAATTGATCGCTTTTCTATAGTTTACTGCTGGACGAATGCTGAAGTATCCTTTTTGCTTCATGATTCTGACACTAACACTGTCAAGTTCAGTAAGCTAAACCGGCTAGGATAAGGTGTTGCTAAGATAAGGTTCTATGAGATTCCTTAAATACTTGATGAAAACTTAAATGGAACATGACAGAGGAAAAAATAAAAGCTTTGATGGGTGAAAGATATTGCAGAAGCTTCGAGATCCAGAGTGAGAATTGGAGGACAGCTACACTTCACTGATTAAAATGGTGGAAAGTGTTAAACACTATTTAGAAATTATAAATAAATTCTGAAAATTATTACGCACACATACAAACATTTAGCCACATCCACCAACCATACAAATAAAAAATTATCCAGTATCACTAGAGATGGCCATAAACAGAAAATGGGTGAAGAAGCACTCTGGGACTGAGGGTGATGAATGAACTGATTACACTGTAAAAAAAAAAAGTTAGAAGTGAAGGTTCATTGCCACCCTATATAACAAGGTTCATTGTGCTATATAAGAATTGACTTACATCAATAATGGCACCATCAAGTACAGTTTACCAATTCCAATTAGTATGTTCCTCAATAAAAATACTATAGACTAAAGGAAAAGAGAAATGGCAAATAGATACAATTAATGACAAAAAATGGAGGCACAAATCAAAACCTAAAACATTTATGAATTTTACAGACACAAGAGACAAAAATAGACAAGTATAAATCCTAGACTTTAAAGATATACTTTAAGAATGTGGACTATTCAAAAAGCAAAAACCTACTACTACTAGTTGATGCCGCAACAATCCATTACTGAATTTAGGCAGCCTCCGCTATTAAATTTTATAAAATGAAAAGTGGCAAATTGGATTGACTGATGAAAAAAAGCGACATAACTTACATTTCACAAGTAAAAGTGTTGAGAAATTGTTTGCTGATGTAATTTGTGCTGCCAGCCTCAAAACTAAACTTGAGGAAATTCTAGCAATGGAAGAATTGAAACAAGGATGAGACTGGACTGAATTTAAAAGTGTTGCTAAACAAAATCTTTTTGAGTAGTCAAGAAAAATCAATTACTGGTTTCAAGAAAAAGATTGCATCACAGTGGGTGTTTATTGAAATGCAGTAGGGTCTCACAAACTCTACTTTTTTGTCATAAGTGAATCTGCTAAACCATATGTCTTCAATAATCTGGACACGTCGTTCCTTTCCTTGAACTGTAAGTCACAAAAAATATCTCAGACTTGTTCATTGAGTTGTTAAAGTCAGAGTTTGATATAGATTAAAACTGTTTTTATTGGCTTAATATACATCGTAGCCATGGAGTCTGGCCCATTTAGTGTTAGTAGGGATTAGTTTTATAAGTAGAAGAAAACAAGTAAATAAGTACAGTATAAGAAGACAAAAACAAAAATATTTTTATATAACAAACATCATAAATATTTTTATACTCCAAATATTTTTACTATTTATATAATAAATATCATAAATGAATAAAAATACATATATACTAAAGAAAATTTTTCTTTGCAGAACACAACAAAGCAAAACAAATAGTAGAGATCTTAGGATTACAACACACATGTAGAATCGTACAATTAATAATAATAATGTTTAAAAGGCACCCAAATTGTGAATAAATCTATGTACGCCCACGGACATATGAACACATGCCTGACTAACCTAAAGCTGAGGGTTTGTACTTGTATTTATAGTCACAAAAACTTAAAATAAAATAAAATATTTTGTTCAACTGGTCAAGATTTTTTATATTCAACACACACTCTAGTGATAAATCATCAGTGGCAGCCTGTATATGTGTATGTAAGTATTTCCTTCTATGTGTCTCCAGAAACAAACACTCCAGCATCAAGTACTTTAAACCGCTATTGATAAGTTGGCCGCACCACTTGCAGACTTCGTTTGTATTTATGACGTATGTAATGTTCCCATGGAGCAATTTTAGATGGCCACTACCCGATACTCTTAAATGACTTACCGTCCGTAACTTTCTTAGAGGTATCATAAATTTGAAATAATTTTCGGGTTCTGAGCAATTGTAACCACAAATACGTCGATACATTGGGCTGTAATTTGAATTGTAGGCACGTTCAATGTCTTTGGAGTATAAATTTGTTTATATTATAGTATATTTATTATATAGTACTATATTATAGTATAAATAAACAGTTGTTAAAATAGCATTTTTGTTTCTAAGAAATATTTCTAGATCAGAAAAACGATTAAAATATTCTTCAACGAAATTAGAAGCGGCTATATTTTTAAGTTGTGAGAACCAATTAAAATCCAGATTTGGCTCCCTAGCATCAAGAGCCACCAGCTTCTCCAAGCATTTTCGAGGAAGCCGGTGGTCCAGCAGTGATGACAGTCTTGTACAGAAATTTATAGCTTTCTGTCAGAGTTTGATATTAAGGTATTTAAAAAGCTGATATTTACCTATCAAAGCATTTCTGGTCTATGACAATTCATCTACCCACTCTGATAAAGCTGAGTTCTGTTCGCCCGAATTATCTCCTGCAGGAATTAAGACTAAGTGGACAGTAAGTGTTAGTGTCAAGTGTTAGATCAGTCTTAGAGAATCTCT